CAGAGGCAAATGTCTGTTTTACATGTTGAGCATAGTGAGACTACCGAGAAGGGTAAACCTAAGGTTGGAGGATTGAGCGATATGCGGCTTGGTACGATTGATCGGAAAGTGAAGTGTGAGACATGTATGGCAAATATGGCTGAGTGTCCAGGACACTTTGGTCATCTCGAGCTAGCTAAGCCAATGTATCATGTCGGGTTTATGAAGACTGTGTTGAGTATCATGAGATGCGTTTGCTTCAATTGCTCCAAGATTTTGGCTGATGAGGTATGGAGGAACTCATCTTGTGATTGCATACTCTTGTTTTGGTTTTGTTTGACTTAGTCGTGTCCTTGAATTGGAAACTGTATTGGCTTATGTTACTGTTGAGAATAATCCAATTGGTTATTTTCATGAAGGAGGAGCATAAGTTTAAGCAGGCTATGAAGATAAAGAATCCCAAGAATAGGCTTAAAAAGATCCTGGATGCTTGCAAAAACAAGACCAAATGTGATGGTGGTGATGACATTGACGATGTCCACAGCCAAAGCACGGAGGAACCAGTTAAAAAAAGCCGTAATGGATGTGGTGCGCAGCAACCAAAGCTGACCATTGAGGGTATGAAGATGATTGCAGAGTATAAAGTGTCAAAGAAGAAAAGCGATGAGCCGGACCAGCTTCCGGAGCCTGCTGAAAGGAAACAGACACTTGGTGCTGATAGGGTTCGTCTTTTATTTTGAATGAACTTACTTCTCCATCTTTGGGGTAATCTGATGGACGCGAGTTTCTTGCAGGTTTTAAGTGTTCTAAAGAGGATTAGTGATGAGGATTGTCAACTCCTGGGGTTTAACCCTAAGTTTGCCCGTCCGGACTGGATGATTCTTGAAGTCCTTCCTATTCCTCCACCCCCTGTCAGGCCATCTGTAATGATGGATGCCACTTCCAGAAGTGAGGCAAGTAGACTTCGGTTTATTGAATAAGGATTCTTAAATTCTAGTGCAGAGTTAGTCTCGACTGACAATATTATTGCTTTTTGACTATACCAACTGAATGTGTGTCCCTGAGTTCATGCTTGTTGTTGATGCAGGATGACTTGACTCATCAGCTAGCCATGATTATTCGACACAATGATTACTTGAAAAGGCAGGAAAAGGGTGGAGCACCAGCTCATATTATATCAGAGTTTACACAACTCTTGCAGTTTCATATAGCTACGTATTTTGATAATGAGTTGCCTGGACAGCCAAGGGTAATGCTGTTGTATCCTTCCAGTTATCTGGTATGATACATAAAGAATGTTGCTTTATCTGGATTGACCCTTTATTTTCTTCAGGCCACTCAAAAATCGGGGAGGCCTATTAAATCAATTTGTAGTAGGCTGAAGGCAAAGGAAGGAAGAATCAGGGGGAATTTGATGGGAAAACGAGTTGATTTCTCGGCACGTACTGTTATTACACCAGATCCAACAATAAATATCGATGAACTTGGTGTACCGTGGAGTATTGCTCTGAATCTCACATACCCAGAAACAGTTACTCCATATAACATTGAAAGGTTAGTACATTAGGTGTTTATTTTATTTTCAAAAAGTTTCTCCATGTTTTGTTGACAATGTTTTTGGTCAGATTAAAAGAGCTCGTTGATTATGGGCCACATCCTCCACCTGGCAAGACTGGGGCGAAATATATCATCAGGGATGATGGTCAAAGACTAGATCTTCGGTACCTTAAGAAGAGCAGTGATCATCATTTGGAACTTGGATACAAAGTATTTACCTTTTTCCTTATTCTATCCACTCAAGCAACAATGTTCTTTTTCTGGAAGTCAATAAGTTTTATATGCTTTCTTGGTCACAGGTGGAGCGGCACTTAATTGATGGTGATTTTGTTCTGTTCAATCGTCAACCAAGTCTGCACAAAATGTCTATCATGGGTCACAGGATTAGGATTATGCCATATTCCACGTTCCGTCTAAATTTGTCTGTCACCTCTCCTTACAATGCTGATTTTGATGGGGATGAGATGAACATGCATGTGCCACAATCATTCGAGACCAGAGCTGAGGTGCTAGAGCTGATGATGGTTCCTAAATGTATCGTCTCTCCCCAGGCAAATCGACCTGTGATGGGTATTGTGCAGGATACCCTTCTAGGGTGCCGTAAAATTACAAAGAGAGATACCTTCATAGAGAAGGTAACAATTTCATTAGCGGTTTTCCATGAGTTTACGAGAAGATAAACTAAACTCCCTGAGTTTTATGAGAGGATAAACTAACTTCTATGCTGATATCTTTTCAATATTTAGGATGTATTCATGAATACGCTTATGTGGTGGGAAGACTTCGATGGGAAAGTTCCAGCTCCTGCAATTTTAAAGCCACGTCCTCTCTGGACTGGGAAACAAGTTTTCAATCTGATCATTCCAAAACAGATAAATCTGTTGAGGTACTCTGCTTGGCACGCAGATTCAGAGACTGGATTCATAACTCCAGGGGATACTCAAGTTCGAATTGAAAGAGGGGAACTTCTCGCCGGAACTCTCTGTAAAAAGACCCTTGGTACATCTAATGGAAGTCTCGTGCATGTCATTTGGTAAGATGTGCATCATGTTTACTTGGCACAAAAAAATTAAATCAAGATCGTAGAGTATTGATTGTGGGTTGTCAGATCCTCATACTGGCTTAAATGTAGTAATTGGTTTCATGAGTTCTTCTGTTTTAATTTTTCTTTTACTTGGTTTATAGGGAAGAGGTTGGTCCTGATGCAGCTAGGAAATTCCTCGGTCACACTCAATGGCTTGTCAATTACTGGCTTCTACAGAATGGTTTTACCATTGGAATTGGTGACACGATTGCTGATTCCTCAACAATGGAGAAAATCAATGAGACTATTTCTAATGCAAAAACTGCTGTGAAAGACCTTATCCGTCAGTTCCAGGAAAAGAAATTGGACCCTGAACCGGGGCGAACTATGACAGAGACATTTGAGAACAGGGTTAACCAGGTATAATAATCAAATTTTCATTTTGTGTGTTGTCAGTGATTTTCTTAATTATGCTGACTTATAAACTGTTCTGGTAGGTCTTGAATAAAGCTCGTGATGATGCTGGAAGTAGTGCTCAAAAGAGTTTAGCAGAAACCAATAACCTTAAGGCCATGGTGACAGCAGGATCCAAAGGAAGTTTCATTAATATTTCTCAAATGACAGCTTGTGTCGGTCAGCAAAATGTTGAAGGGAAGCGGATACCATTTGGATTTGATGGGCGGACATTGCCGCATTTCACAAAAGATGATTATGGTCCTGAAAGTCGTGGATTTGTAGAGAATTCATACCTACGTGGGTTGACTCCTCAAGAGTTCTTTTTCCATGCCATGGGTGGAAGGGAAGGTCTTATTGATACTGCTGTGAAGACATCAGAAACTGGATATATTCAGAGGCGATTGGTGAAGGCTATGGAGGATATTATGGTTAAGTATGATGGGACAGTCAGAAACTCGTTGGGTGATGTTATTCAGTTTCTTTATGGCGAAGATGGTATGGATGCTGTATGGATAGAATCACAGAAGCTGGATTCCTTAAAAATGAAGAAATCAGAGTTCGATAGGACTTTCAAGTATGAGATTGACGATGAAAACTGGAATCCTACATACTTAAGTGATGAACATCTTGAAGACTTGAAAGGGATCCGGGAGTTGCGTGATGTATTTGATGCTGAATATCAAAAACTTGAGGCTGACAGGTTCCAACTTGGGACTGAAATCGCAACAAATGGCGATAGCACTTGGCCATTGCCTGTTAACATCAAGAGGCATATCTGGAATGCACAGAAGACTTTCAAGATTGACTTGCGCAAGATTTCAGATATGCACCCTGTTGAAATTGTTGATGCTGTTGATAAACTACAGGAGAGGCTGTTGGTTGTTCCTGGTGATGATGCGTTGAGTGTGGAAGCACAGAAAAATGCTACACTGTTCTTTAACATTTTGCTTCGCAGCACGCTTGCTAGTAAAAGGGTTTTGGAGGAATACAAGCTTAGCCGTGAGGCTTTTGAGTGGGTCATTGGTGAGATTGAATCGAGGTTTTTACAGTCGTTAGTAGCCCCAGGGGAAATGATCGGTTGTGTTGCTGCACAATCAATTGGAGAACCTGCTACGCAGATGACTCTGAACACCTTCCATTATGCTGGTGTCAGTGCAAAGAATGTTACCCTTGGTGTTCCCAGGTTGCGAGAAATTATTAATGTTGCTAAAAGGATCAAAACACCGTCCCTATCTGTGTACCTCACACCAGAAGCTAGCAAATCAAAAGAGGGGGCTAAGACTGTTCAATGTGCTTTGGAGTACACCACTCTCAGGAGTGTCACTCAAGCAACAGAGGTCTGGTATGACCCAGATCCGATGAGTACTATCATTGAAGAAGATTTTGAATTTGTGAGGTCTTACTATGAAATGCCTGATGAAGATGTTTCCCCGGATAAAATATCTCCTTGGCTGCTTCGTATAGAGTTGAATCGTGAGATGATGGTTGATAAGAAGTTGAGTATGGCGGATATTGCGGAGAAGATCAACCTTGAGTTTGATGATGATCTGACTTGCATATTCAATGATGACAATGCTCAAAAACTGATACTGCGAATCCGCATTATGAACGACGAGGGAGCAAAGGGAGAAGCGCAAGATGAATCAGCTGAAGATGATGTTTTCCTTAAAAAGATTGAGAGCAACATGCTGACAGAAATGGCACTCAGGGGTATTCCAGACATCAACAAGGTTTTCATTAAACAGGTTAGAAAAAGCAGGTTTGATGAGGAGGGAGGATTCAAGACATCTGAGGAGTGGATGTTAGATACAGAAGGTGTTAATCTCTTAGCTGTAATGTGCCACGAAGATGTGGATCCAAAGAGGACAACAAGCAATCACTTGATTGAAATTATTGAAGTTCTTGGGATTGAGGCAGTTCGTCGTGCTTTGTTGGATGAACTCCGAGTTGTGATATCCTTTGATGGATCTTATGTGAATTACCGCCATCTTGCCATCTTGTGTGATACCATGACCTATCGTGGTCATCTAATGGCTATCACTCGGCATGGTATCAACAGAAATGATACTGGGCCTCTGATGAGATGCTCTTTTGAAGAAACAGTTGATATTCTGTTAGATGCTGCGGCTTATGCTGAGACGGATTGCTTACGGGGTGTGACAGAGAATATAATGCTGGGTCAACTTGCACCAATTGGGACAGGAGATTGTGAACTGTATCTGAATGATGAGATGCTGAAGAGTGCTATTGAACTTCAGCTCCCTAGCTATATGGATGATTTTGGAATGACTCCTGCTCGTTCACCAATGTCAGGCACTCCTTACCATGATGGCATGATGTCCCCAAACTACCTCCTGAGTCCAAATATGCGTTTGTCGCCAATTTCAGATTCACAGTTTTCTCCATATACTAGCAATATAGCCTTTTCGCCTACCTCATCTCCAGGCTACAGCCCATCATCCCCTGGATACAGTCCTACTTCCCCTGGTTACAGTCCCACTTCCCCTGGATATAGCCCGACTTCTCCTGGCTATAGTCCCACTTCGCCGACTTACAGTCCCAGTTCCCCTGGCTATAGCCCAACAAGCCCTGCCTATTCTCCTACGAGTCCTTCTTATTCTCCCACATCCCCGAGCTATAGCCCGACCTCTCCGAGCTATAGCCCGACCTCTCCGAGCTATAGCCCGACCTCCCCGAGCTATAGCCCGACCTCCCCGAGCTACAGCCCGACCTCCCCGAGCTACAGCCCGACCTCCCCTGCTTACAGCCCTACCTCACCCGCGTATAGCCCGACCTCACCTGCATACAGCCCGACCTCACCATCCTACAGCCCAACCTCACCATCTTACAGCCCGACATCTCCATCCTACAGTCCGACTTCGCCTTCTTATAGTCCTACGTCACCCGCATACAGCCCTACGTCTCCTGGCTATAGTCCGACATCTCCAAGTTATAGTCCGACATCTCCAAGTTACGGTCCTACATCTCCAAGCTACAACCCTCAGTCTGCTAAATACAGCCCGTCTCTGGCTTACTCTCCGAGCAATGCAAGACTATCACCAGCTAGCCCCTACAGTCCCACATCTCCAAACTACAGGTAAAATAACCAGCCATTTGGTGTTCTTTACTTAAATTTATCTCTCTATGAGCTTCTCTTTTCCTCTTGTGATATTGCATCATAACTCTCAATGTTAACACTGCAGCCCGACATCGCCATCATACTCACCCACATCTCCATCTTATTCACCTTCAAGTCCAACATATAGTCCCAGCAGGTTAATTTTTTTACCCTCTTAAATCTGTTCTATGCGTCTGATTACACAATATATAGTCTTCAACATTTGAATTCTGCAAAAAGTGTAACCGTGTTGTTATTCTTAAATCTATCTCAGTCCATACAGCTCAGGAGCAAGCCCTGACTACAGCCCAAGCGCAGGTTACTCACCAACACTTCCCGGTTATTCACCTTCATCCACGGGTCAGTATACACCACACGAGGGAGACAAAAATGACAAGACCGGAAAGGATGCCAGTAAAGATGATAAGAGCAAGCCTTGAAAACGAGAGAGAAGTGGTACTCTAAAGTGTTAGGTAACATCTACTAAATCCCTTGGAACCACTGGCTTTAAAACTATTACTAGCTCACAAACCCAGACACATGTCATTTCGTGTAACCAGCCAGGGATAAATCAAAGAGACCGTTGAGGCTGAGAAAAAAAAAAAAAAAAGAGAGGAAGAAACCGTTTCAAAGTGCTCTCATGTGGAAAAAGATTATCTTAGTAAAATCCTTTCTTTTTCGTGATTTGTAAATGATTCTTAACTTACCCATAAAACCAATCCATCCTCCCCAAAAAAGAAATAATATAACAAAATCATCATAAAC